GCCCTACCTTGGAACGTACTTCATATGTAATTATAATGGGAATCGTACACGTAAGCTTTCGAAGCATCCAGGAGACGGGACCCAACATAAATAGGCTTATTGAATCTGATGCGTGTATGCGTCATTTGAATAATTACCAAGTTTTTATTAAAAAGAAAACTGCTGTGGAAAGTCGGTTTAGAAATCCAACTCGTCGTTTCCCATCGATCCTCCAACTGTGTATCTATCATCACATTCAACTGTTTTCTAACATTCTTCATTGTTTTACCAAACGCGGTATTGCTCATGAGTTCATAAAACTTTTTTTGAACTCATTATTCGGGTTCTTTCGGATGTTGGTATTTATTAAATCATTACATTTTTTCAACCAGGAACTTTGAAAAAATTGTAAAATCCGATAAATTTTCGTTATTTTCATACCGAAATCACACTATTATCTCCAGTTTGTATAACGGACTATGTAGTTGGGTTTTGAGTTTAGCTTTGTCAATTATTTCGGACTTTGAATGACCATTGTAAAAAATAGGAAATCGAAATTTAAAAATTGGAAAATTTGTAAAGATGGCACAGTAGTCTCTGGATACAATGATAAATCTTTATACTCATCATGTAATTCTACCGGATATTCCAGATCGACATCCAACATATAACCGATATTCCAGTGATCTGAGACACTAAGAATGGTGAATGATTTCTAGTCTTGCATCCAGCGGAAGTTATCGTAAGGTAATGATGACTCATTGCTGATCTATACAAGTCATTTACATCCCAGTACAGTTTGGATTTTCAATTAAAAACCTGGACAGCCTCCCTGGCGGGAAAATAGAAAAAGCATCATCACGACACAACATTACATTCGCTTCATGCCTTATATTGATTTCAGAAGCAGAAGTTATGGCATGTCGGTGATTCAATAGTAATTCAGATAATTTGCCGAGAGGAAGTTGTTTCATCTTTTCGTTGATTTCGTTTAAGAGAGCATGGTGGCTTGGTTGAATACATGTATTGGTTGAATACATGGTCATTGCATGTATCCGGAGTATACAGGAAGGTTGGGTATCCTTATTCAATATGTTTGCACAAATTTTCAAATTATGTGAGATTGTCTTCGAAGAACTTGGTCACTCGGGTATTCAGGGAAATGGAGTTAATGTTTGAAAAACGCAGGAGAGTTCCCGCAAGGTAATGCTTTGTATCTACCTTGAAAGCTGCTATGATGGTGTGGAAGACTTTTTTTTTCAGACAGAATAACTTGACGATAAACGGTTCTTGTATCTCTGCACTATCGTTGGCTTAATCAAAATGTATTTGATTTTGAAACTTCAACTGTGGATCGGAATGATAACCAATGTTGTTATATTCTCCACTCAAATACTGCAATCTTACTGAACCCTTTGCCATATATGTTTGGAAATTTTCAAACACTTCGTAATTTCTAGCGAAGAATTTAGCTAGCCCATTAGTAATGAAAACTGCCTGAGTGTCTGATTGATGGAAAATAACCCTCACTCCATATTTTGTGTTGACCTAACGAGCCGCTATGACTTTGTAGAAAGAGTTCGAAGGAGAAGGAGTAGGGTTGAGGTCTAAGAGCTTCACCAACGGATGATCTTTTAATTCAACCACAGCGTTGATCTCGACAAAATTCATTATGTTTTTCATTAATCAAGTTGAAAATAAAGACGATTGACGTAACTTCTCACGTTATGGTTACCGTTTAAAAGCAAGTTTGAACTTTACTACACTTCTCGTTAGTCAGTGAGAATGACTAATAGAGTGAAGATGAGGATCGATTTTTTTAGGGTTATATATACGAAACCCCTACTCTATGTCTAATGATTGATCATAACAATGATCCGTATATGTTAGTTTTTGGAATTATTATTCATGAGAAAGATGCCTGTCAAGAGGGGTCAGGTGGCCTCAACACGAGTGAGTGCAGGCCTCAACACGCTTTCTGACGGGAAGGGGGGGAGGGCTAATGTCAACCAGCCATCCAGCAAGTTCACCAACATATCCACCCACCTAGTCCTTAGGTGGGCATCAATTTTTACCTGCCACTCAACTAATTAATCAAACAATCAATTAATTGATAATCCAATGATCTGTTAATGATCACCATTAACCCTTAATTTGCGATTTCACCGCAATCACCCCGCCCAATCCCTTTATTGATTTAAATTTTCGCCTTTTATTTCAATTTTTTTTTGCTCAAAAGTCGTTTTTTTTTTAAAGAAAGAATTAAAATTTGAGTGGGCCCTCTGATAAACTCAATCGCAAAGGGCAGGAAGGACAATTCACGTATCCTTCCGGCAATAATAAAATTTTGGATATCCTAAAATACCTTCCGTCGTGGTAAAATCCACGACATCGAAATGGATTGGGAAGACGAGAGGTGAAAATATTATCGGGAGACCTGGAGGAGCCCAGATGATCCTGATGATGAGAAGAACGACGTGGAGAGGAAAACTCTGAACTACCCAGGCAGCCGATGACAAGGAAATCTTAAAGAAAAATACTTCACCAGGACATTCTCCCGAGATGATCAAGATTCCTATGAATTTTCGACATTAAATCCGAGAAATTCATATGTGAGAATTTCCCATTTTGACAATTTATTGAAACTTCGGAAAACGTCTGTTAAATTTAGATGAAATTATGTTTGATTCATTTGAAATTTATTCGCAAAATGATTGTGAAATTTCGAGAAATTATTGTCAAGTTTATTTTGAGTTTATATTCGTAATTATTGTGAAATTTTAAATCACGTGGTTAATGTTGGGAATTCTTCATGTCATGAATCCGAAAATTATGAGAATTACGGGAAGAACGGCAAGTAGACGAGTTGTTTTCGCCGTAATTCGTGAAAATCCCTCCCTATTTGCTAAGGCTCAAGTATTGTCAAGTGTACCGGCTCCAGCTTGAGCAGAGTTGCCTCCCGGCCGACATAGAGCCAAGTTGAGGTTTTTGAGAAGAGAACATCGCTCTTATAATCTGAGGTCAATTTGAGTAACTTTGGCGTTCTGATTGCTGTCCCACCTGAAAGAAGACATGGTAAAGCGACTGAACAGGTGGGGAGAGCTGAATAATATCGTTTTTTGAGGAAATAACAAGTTTTGGAGGAGCCTATTGTTGGCCACACAATGGCCTTTCATGTGGCGTCTCTTTGGAGTTGAGGGAATCGGACGATTCATTCTGAGATTCAGAGTCTTATTTAGGTTTAAACTTCCAGTAGTATTTCTATTAATTTTTTTTGTACGTGTCTTCTAGTAATCGCGTATATAATAATTTGTATTATCGATTATCCGAAAAATCAACGTATTTAATTTTCTTTTGTTGTGTTGATTTTGTTTTGTCCTGACGGAACACGAAAACCCCGAATTTTATATTCTGTATTATTTTGTGTTCAATTTTCTATTTGTTTTGTGTGAAATAAACCTGTTTTTTTTTTTAATTGAAAAACTCGTCTCTCCTTTGTTGAGATAAAGAAGAATCCCAGAGAGCGCGTATCGTTGTCCCTCCCCCTTGTAATAAGTAGCGGCTACACTTATAAAGGAGCTGTCAGCCATTTTGAGTTTTTGAGATTACGGAGTTTGAGTTAAAGTGAGAAGAGTCAGTGCCTCTCAAAAAATATTGTTAGTGACTGGTGCCGCGGCAAAATTTGGGGCTATTATTTATTTTTTTTAATTTGAATTAATGAGTTTGCTCTTTGGAGCAGTGGCATACGTCACAAAACAATCAAACCTTGAAAATGATTGAGAGTCAATCATCTCAAATGTTCTCAGAGTGCTGAGATGGAATTTTGACCCCCCCCCCCCCCGGGCCCGCTATATATTTGACCTTAGGTTAAGTTAGGTTTAGGTCGGTGTTTTTCAACACCGTTAGGCAACCCATCCCCAGCTATTCGTCCCGGGCCCTCACTCATTACCCCGGCAGAGCAGACCGCAAGTGAAGAGAGATGTCAATGAAGAAGAAGAAGGACACCGGATGACCCCCGAAAATGGGGAAAGAAGAAGGACGAATGATTGCCAGCTATCACTCGTGTCACGGCTGCCCCACGAGTCACTGCCCCGGATTGAATAGTAGAAAGGAGAGAAATGTCAGGAAGATGAGAATTGTGGGAAACGAGAAAATTGCGAAAAAGGAGAGAATTGTGAGAGGAACATTAGAGAAGTAGAAGGACTAGTTCGGAAGATTATTTTGTGAACAGGAATTGGAGAACTGTGAGAGAAATGTGGAAAAATTTTCGGAGGAATCACGTGCCCAGGAGAGGAGATAAAAGGAAGTGGAAAGAAAGGAGAATTTTTGAAGAAATCCTGAAGAGAAGATTACCCAGGAAAATGAGAGGATTCTTGAGTCACCGTCACCTGTGAGTGCCCCATTTTCATTTCCTGCCCCAACGAGTTTTCCGTGCCCCGTATTAATTTCCCTCCAACGGTGAGCATCGTGGTCATTATATTTCGGAGTGTTATTATTATTATTTGTTGAGCCTCTCTTTTGATTAATAAGTTTAGTGGATTTTGAGCCCCCTACATACTACCATTATTTTTCAGTCATCTCCCTAACTTCTGCCCCGCCTTTTTTAGTATTCGAATTGCGCCCTGTTACGATATGTCGTTTTGCCGCAAGTTCACTGGCTTTACCCCTATCCCTTGGGCCAAACCTTCAAAAGCCCTATTTCTTTATGTAATAATGTTAGTGGTGATCTCTTATTTTAAGATATAATAAATTGTTAACATATTGGAATCGTCCCAGGTTATTCACTTCCGCTACCGTTTTATTTATAATTTCAGGCCCGCCTTTAAATTATATCAGATTCCCCGTCAATAAAATTACAGATATGAAATCCCCTAATGCTCGTGCCTTCGTTAGATTTATTGTGTATTAATTCTCTCGCCAAGGTTACAGACTGTACTATCGTATTGCCACTTTTATACTATTACGGTACCTTCTTTGAGTTTTGCTAGTTGCTTTCTTCATAAGAATTTCTATGTTTACAGGTGAGTCGTTATTTGGAGGCTCCGGATATCATCACTGGAAATACTTCTTCGATGGAGCCAGCCATAAAACAACGGCTGCTACGTCACTTAGATAGTTGCGTATCAGAGTTGGATCTCGACTTAGGCTCTCGACCAGACAGCGCAATAGGTAGTAGTTCAGGAAGTATGGCTGACCGTATATCAGGTACGACAAGTCCAAGTGCTCGGGAGCAATATACACTAGCAGCGCCTCAGTGTAGTTCAAGTTCGAATCCCGTCTTAATGAAATCTGAAGTCGCGGATCAAGAGTCAACAAGGCCAGATAGTAGTACAACAGCGGGAGATGAAAATAATAACAGTAGTAGACCATCATCAGCACTTACCCAAGTCAACCTAGCTACATTGGATTCTCATCTTTCAGGAAATATTATGGTCGATCAGGCTTCAACGTCAAACCAAAATCCGAGTATGCTCTCTGTAGTACAGGTTATACCATCACGCCTACCAGATGGTCAAGTTGTTTTTCTTTTACCCAGTCACTACGTTCAATTGGCTGCAGCAGCAGCAGCGAATGGAATTAACATTGGACCCAATGCCCCTACTGCCATTTGGGCGGCAACAAATATGTCATTGCTTAAAAACACTGAAAAATTACAAAAGAGGTCACATGAAGACATTTCACAAGGTTGGATACCTGACGGCAGTAAGGCAGCGAAAAGTCCAAAGATTGAGCTATCAGAACAACCACTAGATTTTACTACAACCTCCAAAAAATTGAAAGGACGACTTGAGCACCAGGCACAAACCGTACTAATCATCCACAATGGCAGATCGCCTAGTAATGGTGGAAGTGAAGAAGATATGTCAATGTCAACGATAAGGCAGCATTCAATAAAAGACGAAGAGGAAATGTGGAGACCTTGGTAAAAAAAAGAGCTCCGTTGTTGCTTCATCATTATCGAACTGAGGCAGCAATGGAAATGAAACAACATGCGTAAATACGCATGCTGATGAACCATGCAAAATTATTGATATTAAGTAAAGTACAGATTTATTTTACAGTTCTCTTGGTATATGTTCATCAAATTTGAAAACATCATTAAGTGCAAGGTTTCGACACTATACTTTGTGGGGTAATTCAGTGTTGCTTACTCGCAGTATAGCTAATTGTAGTTGAATGTGAAACAGATAACTCATGAGAAAGTACAACAATTAATTATTCCGAAGAAGTCTCTATGAAGCTAAGGTGGTTAGAAAAACTAAATGCTATTGGTTGGAATATGTATATAAAATCCCATCATTGATGTACTCAGTTACATAGTCAATATGAGAATAAATATATGGACACATGCTACTACTTTCTGGAATATCATCTTTTATTTGTTCTTTACTAGAAAGTCCAGGACGAGCAGAATCATTGCCCCCTTTTTTTTAATAATTTAATTGATTTCCAAATGCGTGAAACATTCACCAGGTGTATGAGTGCAGTATAGTGGTTGTTAGCAGGTCCAATTAATTTTTTTCGTGCGCCGCCCCCCATGAAGATAGGATTTCCTTATTTTGGTTGTTCGATTTCAACGTGTAATTTATGACTGAATATGCTAATCATTCACAGCTTTCAGCGTGTTGAATTGGGACAGGAATCCATTCGAATTTATTTTTACACGCTCACTAGATTCTACCATTCATTATGTAATGAGAACTATTTGTATTTCCAATCTATACATATAAATAATAAATTACACCATTCAAATAATGATCATAATCGCAACAAGTCGATAGACAGAAAAGGTTCATTGTTGAATTGCATCTCAGGACCTGATGTTAATACAATCGTTGAATGTGCTCGGGTGATGTCATTACCCCTGCTCTTGATAAGGGTTTGGCACGAATTATTGATACTTATAAATGTACGTTAGTGGGGGAATAATTAATTGATTTGATAAGGGGACAAGGGAATGTATGTTCACTCATTTTGGAGATTACACCATGTATGACCACTTATCCACCTTCCATCGAATGCGTTGTTCATATCTTCAAGGCTGCTTCAAGGTAGAATATCGAACCTACTACTTGATTACAGTAAATTTTTAGTTTAATTCAGTTTTCAACCATCATAATGAGTCATAAGCAAATAAGCTAATTTCATTATGACTTATTAAGGTCACTGATTATGATAATTTTGTTGTACCCTGCGTGTGGGGTACTTATATTTACTGTATGTACTAGGCTTGAAGGGATAACCCTCACTAATAGTTCATAGGTATTCGAATATGAGGGTTTATTGTTTGTGGGGAATAACAATTTGACTTTTTTTAATTTTGAGTTCTGGACGGACGACATTTATAGATAACATGTGCAATTTCTATCAGAGTACATTGGTTAGGAAACCGCTAAATAAATGCACCTGAAGAGGAATGCCTTGAGCGTTCGAAACGGTGTGGGGTCAATGCAATTATTGTAAGGGTTTTTAAATTTTTATAATCAACGCCAATAAAAAGTTTGGCCGAATAAAATGGTTGAATCTCACCGATTCAACAAAACTAATAATGGTCGAAATACTGATTCGAAAATCATGATTGATCGAATGTTACATGGAAGCTCGAGATTCAGCCGTCAGTCCAGTTTTAATATCAACGCTTTAACCGAGCCTCATAATTCAAAAGTTGATCAACGCTCGTGCTTCCAGTCTCGAAACTGGGTCACTTTTCCATATTTGCTGGACCGTAGTTCAATTATGTGTATCCTCACTTGATTAAACTTGCTCAGTCTTGAATCTAGCGTGATGCAATCTTCATAGCATCGTTCTTTCTGACCTGGGAAGGAGTACTATCACTGTTAACTTATCCTCGAAGTACGGATTAACCATTCCAGACCGATTGTCGGCCGTTGAAATTACCGAAGGCATTTACTTCTTTATCTACATATGTACAGTTGTTTAATTTATTGTATGGGAGTCCCTCGCTGTTACGTCTACTATTATGGCCGCGGCAGTCAAGTAGAGTTAAATTTTGATGAGAACAAAAATAAGTATAGGATAATAGAAAAGGCATAATTTTCTAGACAAAACCTCATAAACTGAAATGAACTATCGATATATCTAGCATCATCATCGATTATAAAAAATGACGACAATAAAGCGGTTCATCAAGCTGTTGCCAACACGGAAACCATTCCGTCTAAAAGCATTAAACGTGGAAATATCAAGAAATAAAAGAAGCCAGACAACTATTCAAAAACACGTGCACTTTTTTTCCCCATTGAATGGGGGACAACGGCGCAAAAAATGCTACCGATATTCAGCAAGTCATGTCGAAAATGTAAATAAGGAATGATTTTTTGTTAATTTCAGTCGGTCTACAGGAAATCTGTTGCTGTTGATATTCAAAATGATACCATGCCTGTCACTCAATTGATACTTCGGAACCGTCGTCCGCTGGTATTAGTAACCCTTAGTCTAAGTGTGTTCGGTTTTTGTCTGATGTTTTTCCACATACACACGCATATGCTCTAATAATTTCAAGCGCAACCGACCGTATAATATTCATTGGCATTCTCTAATTTCCGCATAATAATTTCTAATTTTGATTTGGGGCCTGTGCCCCCAATTAGGGCATCTGTCACCTTGTGGCATAATATTTGCTCCCATTATCATTCGAAAGTTCGCACGCATAGCATTCTCGTTAGTGTTCTGGGCGCCGCAGGGTACTACGATGATGTTTTTGATATATCAGAGAAAACTTGGTAAAACGTAAAAAAAAAGAGAAAGTTTGGGGCAAAACTGTTATAGACCCGAGCGGTTGGGTTCGATGATAGGGATAGATCACTTGTAGATAATTAGAAATGAATATCTCTCAGGGAGATTCAACTTTTTAACGATTAAACGATTTATTCAATAAATATAGTCTTTGATTAATGCCGTAAATATCAGGCAAAGTGACGAATAATCGGATTACTAATTGTCTGTGGCTGACAACCTGACTAACTGACCCAGTGCTAACGAACTCACGAGCTTATATTTCATCGTGGATTCGATTGCAACAAGTGTTTTATCTTTGTTTTACACCTGGAAAGACATCGGGTGACGTCCCAGGTGTACGTAAAGGCCATAGCCGTTGATGGGGCGAAGTGCTGACACTGCACCCCAGTGATCCACATTATGACGAATATATGCGGACTTAATCCACAAATATTCGGGATAGTTTATATTACAACATTGACATTCTTTGATTCGATTTTACATGTTTTGGATAATATGTGCCACTTCGCGTGTCGTCATATTATCCAGGTCAATGAGAAATTACCTAATACTATTTCTTAATTTAATGGTATTTCTGGGGCATAACAAAACCCCAGATAATAGTATGGAATGTAGATATGCCCAGCCCCAATATCGATAAGTAACCTGAATAGGAGGCACTAACAGGCAGGTACTCAAGTGGCCATCATTATGCCTTCGCAGGCGTTTTAGATGTAAACATCGAGAGGAGCACACCTCGAAACTATGAATCATCTAAAATACGCCACACAATTACCCATAGGCATTTTTAAGGAGACCCTTTCTTTTTCCTTATTGAAGAGGGGGGTCAGTGACTAAAACAATTCTTCAATGGTAACAGCCAATGGGAAGAGCCCCAAAGAATCCGCGATATCGGCAACTTAGAAATGGACCACCTCAATCATGGGTTCCCTGATATTGACAAATAAAAAGGCATGCGAATACCTCTAAATCTATCATAAGTGGCCCTCCGTCACTAACACCCCATACGTCATGTCACAAGCGCCCCAAAAAAAATCTTCCGCTAACCATATTTGGAAAGCAAATTAATATTTTTGCGTGAAGAACTTTACTCCAAATGAAATCGAATATTCAAGATAAATAGTACCATATGGAAATAATTGTTCAATAAAGATTCGCTCTTGATATTAAAAAGACCGCAGAAATATGGTAAGCTTGAGGAGTGCAAACTTCTCAAAAGTCAGGGAATACTCTCTTTTAACTCGGAAATATTTAACTCCATCTCATTTACTTCAGATCAGAAAATAATAGGGCATCTTCTATGATTCACAGTATACAAACTGGACTGTACGGTAAGAAATCATTTCCTCCGCATAAAGTAGACCAGTCCACGTCAAATTTTAGATAGATATTAATTTGGCAGAACTACTTTTCGACCTGTGATGGTATGTCAATCTTCCACCCAATCAGGTGTATTTAAATTTAGAAATTACATTCAGATAATCTCATGATATTAGGGATACAAGACATTTTACTGCAAGCTAGAATTTTTTTTTCTGTGTACTCATCAGAAACTCCTCTCAGTGATGAATCGGACAGCTCAAAGAATCAAAAATCGGAGAAGCCGTATTTGTTACGGTCTGCGATTTCGAGATCTCCTTCGGCTCTTGAAGACAGCAGCGTGCAGATGGCTGCTGCTGCGCCCATGGAACTGTACGGGAATTAGCCACTCAAGATTGGAATGCCACGTAGGTAATAATCAAGATTCTTAATCAACTCTTTAACTTACAAGACTAGTGTGGATGCGACCTACTGGTTTCTTAATTTTATTGTGTGATCATCAATTATCTCCTAGTCTCTAGATTTTCTCCGCAAGGTCATGGCTTACCAAAGATTCTCTGCAGGTTTCTGACGGACTAGATTGTTTCGAGAGTCTCCTGGCTCAATAGATCTTATCAACAGATTCACTTAACACACTTCTGGTTCATCACACGTGATTAACTTCTTTATCAGCGCACCATAACCTTGTTTTGAACTTAAGGTTGCTCATTTGCAACAGCGCAATAAAGTCAAGAAATCGGACGAGACTTCAGAAGTTTATAATGAAGGCGCAACCCGGTAGATGAAGTAAAACTAGGCACAAGGAGCTTTCCTCCTAGGTCAAGCTCCATATAAATAAAATCAAACAGACAAGTCCGGCTATATATTGCGACGTAATTTTCAAATGTTCACGGAACCCTCTGTCTATTAGCCCGCATTCTGGTACCAACAACACCAACAGAAAATCAAAATTCAAAATGTTAGGCGCCAGGTCAATTTTTAACGCAAATAAATAAATCCCCTTAAATCAACTAAGTAATATCGACCTCATAATATAATTTTGTTCAAATCACTGTCGTTTAGATGAATTATTATAATTGTTTTCTGAAGTCTAAATTTTGAAAAAAAAAAATATCTATAAATAATTGTACGTCCAATTTGTAAAACACCACACAAATGAGTCGCCAGACTCAATTGTCGATAGTCGGAAAAGTCAACATTTTAATCAGAAATATTTCATATGAAAGTGTCAGAATAATTTAATGA